TCAGAGAAATGCCGCTTGTGGCTCCAACCACGTTGTGGCTTGGTGGAGATATAGGGAAGGGTGCTGGATGATGACTTCCAATTACCGTTTTGGGTATGAGAACAACGACTGCGAGGGACGGCAAAGCAACGCCCACTTAACTGGATCTCGAAATGGCTTTGGAAAGACCTGATATGACTCAAAAAATGGTCACGAACTTTTGGGACAACCTAGTATTCTCAAGTTATTGAAGTATAATGTCAAGTCGACAAGAAAAAGCCTTGCCGGCAACCCCTTCGCTTTGCGCTTTATCAGAGAGCGGAAGCCAGAGGTGCTCCTTGGTGAAGCGTATAACCAGTTAGCCGTTCCTCTTAACAAAATTCAGACAGGGTTCCAGTTCGACCAATGCCAACCTCGTGCACATTCCCTATACCGTGTACCATTTCGACTTTCTCAAGAAGCTGGTTGAATGGGATCGTTTCTGAGAACCTACGCCAAAACGGGTATACGTGTAGATATCATGGAATGCTCCTACAAGCTCGAGCGTCAGCTTCAACGGGAAGGATACAAGAAGCTTGCTACATTGGTCCTGCGTTCAGTGCATGGCACTGGACCCTCTAGGGTCGCAAGAACCCTTCATAGCATGTAAAATAAGCACATAAAAGCTGTGAAAAATGCAGTCGTTCGTAACGTACAGAACGGTCAACAGAGTTTGCACAGAAACGTTCAGAAGAAAAAGTCGCAGTGGCGGGGCAGTTCGGCGACGGAAAGGGGATGGGGGCATTTTGGACTTTCGATTCTTCCCATCGACGTGTCGACCCACCTTCAGCTTCTCAGGAGTTCACAGGTTACACCAGCGTAAGACATGCAAACTGCAAGTAGTGAAGGAACGCAATCGCAAAATGCCCCCCCCCCTCCCTCACCTGTCCCCGCCGCAAAGGTCCAGCTTCTGAGACTGGATGAACCATTATGAAAAACCATGTGACATAACAGATTCACAAGGGCTGGGAGAGGGTGGACATTGGTTTTTATGGCTTTCTTAGTTGTCGTTGTTCCAGAATCTGGTGATAATACTCTCGTGCAGTGATTATTCCTTCCTGGCTCGCAAATTCTGCCTCGCGGTTTACTTTTTTCACGTGTATTTTCACATGTATTTGTAAGTGTACATGTACTTTTGCGTGGTTTTTCTTCTTGACTCTCAAGTTACTTCAAGTGTTTTGAGAAAATTTTGTTGCTGTGGGCAGGCACAGCCTAACTAGATGCTGTATGATCTCATTATCTTTATACGTAAAGTAGTAGCATTATTCGTGTACGAAAGTATAGCTTTCACAGTGTAATATGGTGTAAGTACTGTCAAATAAAGATAGCTATGACGACCTTGTTTCAGTTAGAAAGGTGGAAGTGAAAGATGTGGCTTACCGCTGATGGCACATTGAGGTACACTCTAGTTCGCAGCGGATGAAGGGGCGTGTCAAGCAGTGTCATTGTCTCACGCGCCCGCCGCTTCCGTTCTCTGCCAGTTGTTGAAGTGGGTATGCGACAACAATTGATAGAAAACTAGTGATATGAACGGTGGAGAATGGTTTGCACCGCGCCAAGCTCATCCTGCCTCCAGCTCGTCCACCCGCGGACTAGACTACACCGAATACTTTATTTTGATTACATGAGGGCGGGGGGAGGAGGTCAAATGAAATCATCATGTGGTCTTTCCAAGGTTGCATGAACTAATAAAATGGTCGCAAGCATGTTTTTGTCCAGTGCCAGGGTACGATTTCACACACTGCAAATGACAATCAGTGCTGAAATCCGCTTTCAGTCGACGTCTGAGTGTTTCTGATTTCTGTCAAGTTGTATTGTTTCGCAACTGCAAGTATTTTTTCAGGTGTGGAAGGACGTGGAGGGGCTTCGATGTAGATTAATTTGTGGTAAGCTAGCAGGTTTGAACAGTCGGTGTCCCTCACAATAGGCGTGGCAAGCCCACAGCCACGCCTACCACATATCAGGGATTTTCAGCGTAGGTCATCTCATTCAAACAGGTGGAGAATAGAAGAATTACAACAGGGCAGAGGGAGCCAGGATCGTGTACTTTTACACTGTGTGAGAACTGGTACATCTAGTTAAGTACCTGAGGAAATTAAACAGCAGAGCCACGGGAAAAACTCCAGTAATTGAAAAGAAACGTGTGGTCAGAATCAGCCAAGAATTGTGAATCGGGCGTCATAAAAGGAAACCGTGCTGCTCAAATTGATCCTGTGCTGGACACCATAATTGTGTAGAATGGCGTCTTCTGATGGGAAAGTGGAAGAATGGATGTGAAAATTCAAAGAAGGAAAAACGGAAGAAAGTGTTGCCGATGAAGGTCCCACAATGTTAAAGGCAATTGGCACAATGATTTGGTACTCCGCCCAAAAATGCTAGCAGGGCGCTGTATAGTGGGGAAAATGGCGAAAGATCGGAGTGAAACCGTCAAAATCCTACGAAGAAAAAGCCTTCGTTCTTAATGACTTCGAAATCAATTTCGGACGAGTCTCCCGTACGCATCTTGCCAATCACCGCTACCGAAGATACTGGCTGCATCTATGAACTCATACAGTCCTCTTCCTAGCAGACCGGTGGGCGGGTTGAACCGCGTCACGAGGCAGCCGCGGCTATCCACTACCACGGTCGGCAATAAGAGGACTGTATATCCGTCGCAGCACGCGGCCGCACCAATCTCACCGCTTTCATAATTCGCTTAGCAAATAAATCAATACGATCAGCAACGGTCGTCCATTTGGGCGGCGGGCGTTGTGGGGGTTCGACTTCACTGGAGGGGGCGCTGCGCAGCGCCTCCTTAGGATCGCTGTATTCCGTCCTGACAGGCGTATTAATCCTACTCGTCTTTAGGGAGTTATCGTGCCAACTGCCTTTAATCCTGCACAAGAAAGCGGGACAATGAAGTCCAGCTCCAAATATGCGATCACAGAGGCTGGACATTGTCGAGCATGTTTGAGTTCATGTTTGGGTGCCTCATTTTCGTGCAGAAGCCCGAACGCAGAAGTGATTTTATTACCTGCAGCAGCATTGTTCTCCGCCTAAACGTCACTCATAACTGAGGAAAAGCACCCAGGCCCTAGCTGAAATATGGTGTTCTTAGTCCAAACTTGCAAGCCAGCATTGAATGAAGGTTAGAGAAGCTGCCCGATTACTGGTCTGAGTAATTACGTGAGCCCGAGAGAATAATCATCACAGGAACGGATATCTGCTTCAAGCGGCTCTATCCATAGAACAAACTGTCGCTGTCGGTATGTATTGCCTAATCCTCGATGACTAGATCAACAGCCTAATCCTCGATGACTAGATCAACAGGTGTCTCGGTACCTACCACGCAACTACAAGAAAGTTATTATTGTTCATCACAGTGCGAGGCCCAATCAAAGGTACGGTCCGCAGTAGGGAGCGTAAGGAATTGTAGGGAATAATTCTATGGGTAAAAATCCAGAAAACTGCATGGGGAGCAAGTCAGATGTTCGTATCGCTTCATTTGCGGAGTATAATATGAAGCGAATGGATTGAAACTAAACGGCTGCGGTTCTGCATGGATATATGAGTACATACTTGCAGCCGCACCTACCGTAGCGGTTATTGGCACGATGTCAACGGGGAGCTCGTCCGAAGTCGCTCTCTGAGTCTGTAGGACTAAGGCTTTTTCCTGTAGGTTTGATGACCGTTTCACTTCGCTTTTTCGTAATTTTTCCATTATGTAGCACCCCTGCTACCATTCTGGACCGAGTTCCGAAATTACCGTGTTTATGCCTTTAATGATGAGTACTGTATCGCTTGTCCTGATACACAACTACATCTACAGCGGCGTTCAGCTTACCAGGGAAGGTCGCCAACTTACCATGGAACTTTGAATGGAGACCTGGGTAGATCGATAGAGTCTATAAGGTTATTTACAAATATAGATAGCAAAACTGCAACCTGCATTTCACAAGCAACTTATGAGCAGGTAAAGTTTGTAATGGTGCAGTAGGGTGGAGGCTTGGTGGTGAGCTGTGAAGCATAAGCGAGGAATCGCATACGTCAAATCGAGTCACCGCTGCCTCAATTTGACTCGAGGCTGTGCCTGTGAAGCGAGAACCTTACCACTGAACCACCACGACTCCATTTGCGGCATGCGATTCCTCGCTTATGCTTCAGCTCACAACCAAGCCTCCACCGTACTGCACCATTACAAACTTTACCTACTCATATAGTGTAGTTCATTGCGGACGGTTGGGCGTGTTCGTGCGGCTGCGTTTGGCGCGGTGCCAAACTCGTTCTCCACGAGTTGTTCAAGCGAGCAAATGACAATACTGTATCATACCTTTCGTATTACTTGTTTTCTACTGCTTTTTGTCGCATGCCCGTTTCAACAAGAAGGCAGAGAACAGCTCAAAGAGGGTGACACACTCATACTGGCTGACACGCCCAACCGTCCGTCAGCGAAGTAGACGTGTCACGTTTGATTGTAAATGCAGTTGCAGTATTGCTACTTATATTTGTTAATAAGCGCTTATAGACTCTACGATCCCAGTCGCCAGCGTGCTCTCATTCGAAATTTCCATGGTAGAGCCGGCGACCTCTCTTGTCAGGGAGTGTTTTGCCAAATTTTGCTGGTTTTTTGCTTGTTCCTGTTAAGTTACACGTCTCACCTTGATGAACCAGGAGACTCCTGCCAGGCAGCGAAGCTCCTGCTATTGCATAGCTTGACAAGAATTCACAGGTTATCTCAGGAGTCATTGGCGTATATCGATGGAAGCTAGCAAAATGCCCCCTCCAATTCCGAAACTGCGGCTCATTACTGTTCCATTTGCGCTACCAAATCAAATAGACGGGCCAGAATCGATGCATCAAAAAAAAATAATATTCGTAATCTCAAGGCAAATTATTCATTTCTATCCAACATAAAGTAGAGCAGCTTAAGATGTAAATTTCACAAATGAGATTATCACAACGAAAAAATTTGTGAATACCAGTCGAATATAAAAGAAACGGTGCTAATTGTAAAAGGTCCTGCATGGAACTGAGCGGATCATCGCAAGCACTGCCGCATTGCTAGAAAACATCTGATCTCGACGACTACGGAGATGCCGAGCAGAATGGCGATTCCGCTCGAGAGGAACATCGTCCACGGTCGCGTGTCCGAGAAGAACAGCGTGAGCGAGCAGATCGTGCAGACAACGCATCAGGAAACCGCTGGGAGCGATTTTGACTAGTTGGCACTGAAGCTAGTGCTTGTGTCAGTGCTAAACCATACCGTCCAGGCGCCGACTCGCCGGAGGAGTAAGATGTAGAATTGTGAATAAAGCGATAAGAGAAATCAGAATGGTGAGAAGCCAAAGAAGAACAACCAGCCAAGCCGTAAACACAACACTTCTGAAGAAGAACTTGAAATAACTCAATAAATTTTCGTCAAGGGCTAAAATCGCTCACTTTGTCTCCTCGCTCTCGAAATTGTTTCAGCGTTTTTAAGTGAGATTAAGAGAATTTTCCAGAAATAAAGTAACTGCGACAAACATCTGAAGAATCACGAGAATAGACAGCGAGCCTTTGGCAGGCGTGTGACGAACGCTCGATGCTGGTTTCAATCGATGGCGACAGACGACACGCTTCAGTACGGAGGGTCAATGGTAGCCGTCATCTTAACAGTGCTGTTAGGAGCGAGCAAATGGTAGAAGAGCGGGAAGTGCTGTAGAGTCGAGCAAATGGTAGAAGAGCGGTGAAGTAGAGAATAAGCACAAACCCGACTAGCAGTGGTGCACCAGACACCACCGCCGACGCAATAAGAAGCACAGCTATTGGCCACGATGCAGCCTGAAATAAGGAACCTTGTAATTCATGGAGATAAGCCACACAAAACTGATTCAAAGTGAAAATGTTTTTTGAAGTTCCAGAAAAGCAACAACTATATAGCAATTTGTGTAGGACGCGGATTTTTTTTTCAAAATGACATCTTGCACCTACACCTTACACCCAGAATCCCTTATATGGGGTGGGCGTGGGTGCGTAACTGAACTGACGTGGCCGCGACCAAGGTTTTTGGAAATATTTTCACTTTGGGACAGCTGTAATCATGTCTTTGTCGAACACGGAACAAGATGACAGTTGTCTCAAAATGAAACATCCCAGGTATAACCATCCTACGCAAAATGTCCAGATGCCACGCCTACTTTGTCTCAGGTATAAGAAGTGTATATTGGCACACTATCGCAGACAATGTAGAATTCACTTTCATAAAACTCTGATAATGTCAAAACAAATGGAATATTGTACAGTTCAAGTTCCCATGAAGAACCTTTTGTATTGTTGTTTATTTTTTTTCGCACTATTTTATTCATTTATGCCTGGAGGTTTTTCCGAAACAAGAATATATCCAAGTTCTCAGTCAGTCAGTCCCAAAAGAAATTCGTTATGCAAGAAAAAACAGAGGGATGTTCCCAATATTTCCAGCTTGAAGGCATAAGGCACGACAATTTGGTGCTCGGTCAGAAATGGTGACAGGGGTGCTATACAGAGAGAAATGGGGCAAAGCAAAGTGAAACTGTCAGAAACCTGCAAAAAAGCCATTGCTCTACTCGATTCAGAAGGCGGTTTTGGACGAGTTCGTCGTTGGGTTCGTGCCAATGACCGCTACAGTAAATAGCTGCATGTAGTGTGTAC